AAGGCAAGATGATGAAAGAAGTAATTGAATGAAAGAATTAGAGAGAAGGAAACCAAGATTTGTCCAGTTTCTTTCTTGGTTTATTTCTTAATGATCATTGGTGAGAGATTGATTTTGAAATTTATAAGCATTGGTTTTTTATTATTTACAAAATGACTTAGAGGTGTTTAGTTTTTTATGCCTAAATTTGACTTGCCCTGTTTTTCGCGTGTCTACAATCCATGGTGAACACGAGTAAAGAAGCAAAGAGTGGATTTCCATTTGCCTGTCCAGATAGTCCTCAAGTGGGCACACATTATAATCATCTACTATTTCTATTTTTTTGGGTTTGTGACTGTTATTACATCTTTTGTATAGTTTCTCTTTATTAAACTGTGAAATCTTATGGGTTCATCATATTTATATTTAGAATTGTTCACCAATACCTTGACATATCCTTGAGTTTTTTGGGATGGTAATCATGCTTGAGTTCACTGTGAAAGGAAAGAAATTTCGGATAGAAAATTTTTTGTTTTCCATGTCATTGTAGTCTTCGGCAATTCATAAAAAATAAAAAATAAAAAAAATAAATTCCTTTATGAAAGACGTAAAGGATGGGTTTATGTCAACCTTTATTCTTATATTTTGTCGTTATGTCGTTAATTCTTCTATACATGATTGTGTAAAATATACTAATTATTTTCAAAGCAGCTTGTAATTTAATGCAAATTATTTTTTTTTTTTTGAGTTCTAGTAATGAATAGGGATGTTAACGGTGCGCCACGGGATTGGGAAGTCCCTCCCCGTCCTCGTCTCTGTTCCCATGAATGACAAGGTCGGGAATTCTTGCGGGGATTTTTTATGAGAGGCAAATTTTGCCCTTCGTCCCCATTCCTCGTAGGGATACCCATTCCCCACCAATTAATATTAAATTATAAATTTTTTTGTCTTTTACATATAATTAATTAATATTCAATTATAATAAATAAAATTCTAAAATTCAAATACAATTAACTAAAATTTTTAAATATAAATTGTCCGAATATAAATAAAAATCAATTCAATACAAATAACTAAACCAACAATTAGCAAATTTGTTTCAAACATAAACAAAAATTAATCAAAGTTAAACTAAAACATAAGTAAAAATTAAACCAACAATAGAGGGGAAGGTGAAAATGAAAATTGAGAAATGAATTAGGATTAAGGTTAAATGTAAGTAGGAGAATGAATTGGGTTAATTTTTATGGATTGAGTTGGTTTGGGTTGGATTGGGTTAGGTAAAATTGGGTTAAGTTTAATTTTGATTGAATTGAGTCACCTTGAGTTTGGGTTTGTGTTTGGGTTTGGGTTTGGATTTGAGTTTGAGTTTGAAAGATGAATTAAATTTAAAATAAAATTAATTTATATTTGTTTTAATTTTTGCGGGGATGGAGATCCCTGTGGGGCCCCACGAGACAGAAAAAATTCCCCGTGAAATTTCGTCGGGAGAAAATGCTCCCCATCCCCGTCCCGTGAGGAGGAATATTTCTCCCCACCCTGTCTCCGATTCCCGTAAGGATCGGGGGAAATTGCCATCCCTAGTAATGAAGATCGGCATCGAGGAGGGAGAGAAACTGAGGGAGAGAAACAGAGGAGGTCCATAATCAGATTGGATACGATGCCAGGTTGATCTTGGATGCACTACTACAGAGTATCTTCCTCTTGTTGGTGCCTCATTGAAATTGCTCAAGCTCATGTCCTTTTCTCTTGTTTTCTATTGTTTGTGCATAATTATCTCTAAATTCAGATTTTGTTATGTTAATTTCTAGGAATGCCTGGAGTAGAATTTGCAAGTTAGTACAGTTAGCTGTATCTATTTGTGAATAAGAGGCCACTACATATTTTGACTCTCAAAATGTTTATTCTCGTTGCCTAAAATAGTGGATAGAAAAAAACCGTGAGATAATCTCATAAAGTAAATTATAATATCTTTTTTAATTTTATATTTACAAGAAAACTTGTAAAATAATAGATTCTTCAAGTATAATAGAATGTTATGTATGGAAAATGAATAAATGATCTTTTCTAAAGTTATGCGAGTGTTTAATAACTCTTATTAACGAATACAGAATTTATCAATATTTATATTCCATGGAAAGATACAAAAATAAAAGAAATAAACCGGTTCACATATAACATGTCAATGTGGCTAGTGTTTAGAAGCCTCGTACTTGCGGTACAGATCAATGGCTATATCGAAAATAAAAATCATGCAATAAGTATAAAGCATATTTCTTCTAACCCAAACTTTTATCCCCAGTCAAGTAACATGGCATCACTGGAAAATCATGCATAAATAGGTGTGCTCTTTTTTAGAAAATATAAAAACTAAGTATTCAAAATCACTATTATGTTATAATAGTTATATAAAACAGGTTAAGTCTTGTTACCATTTCAAAATTGTTCAATTTCATATTTTTAAAGCTTGATTTCAAATCAAAGATAAAATCATAAATTTATTTACTTCAAATCAAGAGAGCAGATAATTATAAGGTAAATCTTAAAAACCAAAATGAGTAAACAATTGAAAACCTAAATTTACGTTAAAGTTTGTTTAGTATGATTGTAATTTAAATATTAAATATTTGAATTAACGTGCAGTTAAAAACTTTTGTGATGATAGATTTTTTTGTTCTCTTCACTATTTGAGTTTCTACAACAATTTTTTTTTTTCATTGGTTAGGTACTTCATTAATTAAACTACACTCTTGGCATCAACATGATTGTTTTTCGGGTTGGATAGCATTAGACTAATCCGTGGAGGATATTAGTTGATAGTTACTACTAGAAGAGATCCTAATCTGGTAACGTGAAGAATTGATGAAATCCCATCCTTGTTTGATTATATTTTAAATAACAGTCCTTGGTTACTGAGAACTTAATTGAATAATTTGAAAGTTAAAGGTTTGCATGGCGAACCCAAAACTTTGAGTTAGTGGGCTGCTT